CGCTCATGGGCGAGCCGCCGGCGGCCACGGGCGGGTGGTCGGCGGGGACGTAGGGGGCGTGGGCGTACGACAGCAGCTGCGTGGCCGAGGTCGGGGTCGCCGCCGACGACGCCGTCATGGGCGAGGCGTGGGCGTTGCGGGGCGGCGTGGGGAGCGACGTCTTGAGCTGGTAGAGGCCGCCGTTGTCGCCGCCGGTCGCGTCGAGCCCGAGCGCGGTAAGCTCCTTCTTGTCGTCGTCGTTGTGGCCGGGGGTGAAGGACCAGTCCTGGCGGCGCGGGGACGACGGCGACCACCCCGCCTGGTGGGACTTCTTGTCCTCGTCCACGGGCGACAGGGACGCCGTCGCCGCGACGGCGTGGCTCGTGCGCCAGAGGTTGGCGGGCGGCGTGGGGGTGACGCTGTCGCGGACGGACACGATGTGCTGCGGCTTCTGCTGCTGCTGCTGCTGGTGCTGGTGGTCCTGCTGCTGGTGCTGGACCTGGGCGGCGGCGAGGTCGTCGTAGCCGTCGCCGCCGGGGCCGGCAAACATCTGGAGCGGGTTGGGATTCCGCGGGGTCGGGCACCAAAAGGAGAGCGAGCTCTGGCGGCGGTGGTCGCCGCCGCCGCTGCGCCTTAAGCCGGCGCGATCTCTGCGGTTCCGGCGCTTGCGAACACACATGTACACGACGGCAGCCACGGCGGCCAGCCCTATGACGCCCGAGATGACGGCGATGACGATGGTGGTGGTCGGGGCGCCCGAGCCCTCGCCATCCTTGTCGCCGGCGCGCGCGTTCAGGATGGTGATGCGGTCGGACGAGAAGATGGAGCCCGAGATGCCGACGGTCTTACCCGGGGCCGGGCGCTGCTGGCACCCGGCCTCGAGGGCGACCAGCCCGTTCCTCACATAGCCCTGCTCCTTGAAGCCGCCGATGCAGGTGAGGCACTTGTCGTAGAACTCGCCCGTCATGGAGCCTCCGTCGGCATTGCAGTATGTGTAGTCGCCCTTGGGATCCGGGCCCGAACTGTCATGTTGGAGGGCGTTTGCGAGGGCTCCGCACGCCCTCGAGGTCTGGCAGGGGTTCGAGCCGATGGCGGTGTTGTTGGGGAAACCAAAGATGCAGTAGTTGAAGTTGTACCGTATGTTGTCTGTCTCTAGATGTTAGTCTTCTTCCAGAATGTAAATCACGGCGAGAGGGAACTTACAAAGGTACCACCCTTGGTCTGACTCGCTCCCCTGAGAGTAGCCGCTCTTTTCCAGGCAAGTGATGCAGGACTTCCACTTCCTGCCTCCCGGGCTCTGATTGTAGTCGGCATCCGCACACGTCATGTCCGACGGGCGCGTGTTGGACGACTTAGGGTCCGACCTGTCAAGAGACGGGCTGTCCATGCAGGACGATGCGCAGGGCGAGTTTGGCGTCACTTGGATAGAAAAGACATCCCGGGGCAGAGCCAGGGTTGCAATGAGTATTGCGAGTCTCGTTTTTGGCTTGGGTGCCATTTTCCCAAGATTGGAAGGGGATTTGTGTGAGGGAGTCGATGCAGAGCCTGGGCCTATCCGGTATGAACGAACGTGTGAAGATAAGAAGCCCCGCTTGCGATGGAAATTATAAAGATGGTCCGAAAGTTCCTGGAAAATACAACTCGGGGAATAGCTTGGAGAGTCGGACGAGCACAGCAGAAAACCAAGGGCGCGAAGATGATGCTCCGGCTGGAGGATTATGATGCGGTTGGTAGATTAGAAGGGTGTAGTAAAAACCAAGCAAGCCAGCAGCATGGAGGAAAGTAAGTAAAATGAACCGGACGGGTGGCGGACACAGGCAGTGCAATAGTTGGGGGTAAGGTGATGACAACAATTGCAAAATGTGGCGAGGGGTCACGGCTGATATGTATCTACGTTCTACTGGCTGTGTATGGCCAGTTTGTTGGATACCAAGGTGCTCAGTCGGGTTCGATAGTCGTGTGCTAGTGGGGAGGGCAGCGCCCAGCCCACAGCGAACAGGGTATATCACATCACTTATACCTCGGTCCTAGCGCCCCGAAAAGGGAAAGCCGCAAGAGTGGTATCGGGGGATCGATATTGGACAGTCGCACGGCATTTTGCTGACAAGACCAGGACAATTTCACAGGGCGGACAGGGGGGCTGGAGAGGGACTGCCCTCGTAGGGGCGGCAAAGATAGGTCGCCGAGGGGAGCAAGGGGAAGAGTGGAGGCACGAGCGGCGGGACGACGGGTGTGCTAGCCAGTCGGGTATTTTTCTCGGGCGCCGTCAACCTGCTTTGGGCAGCAGAGGGTAGGTGTTCGCGTGCGGCGTATGTGACCAGCATGGCGAGCCAGGCACACATTATACGGTGGGCCTGCCAACCCTGTGGTGGGTGTCGTGCTGGGCAGCCAGCATCCCCAGCCAGCCCATTGCATGTAGTGTCCTTGCCGGGGGCATGTTGAAGGTTCAGGCTGTAGACGCAGAGTCCTTGTGACGACGTGCAGGCTGCTGACCACCACTCTGGTTGGACCGCCCGAGAAGAGACAAGTTGGCGGCATTGGCCAATCAGACGCCGTGCGACCATGCAGAGACCCGCCCTGCCATGGCCTCTGCGCGTTCGTGCGAACTGGTATGCGCAACGGAACCCCTCCAAGAGTCCGGATTTAGCACCACAGCGTCGCAGCGCGCCGATCCGGCTGACGTCGAGGCTCCAGAAAGAGCAGCTGGCTATTAACTGCCGTAAAAGATACGTCGACTGTGGGCGTCCATCCAGCTGCCCATGCAGCTGTGTGGCTTTATTGGGTGCAGATTTAGGCTGGCAAGATCCTTCCGAGGCATGGCAGCCCACCGATGGTGGTCTGGACGGTGGCGTGGCCCAGAACAAGGTGGACTAGAAGAAGAAAGGAGGGTGGCCGACTGGACAGACGAAGCAGGGCGCCTAAGAAGCATCATGCGGAAGATGATGCCAGAATATTGCCATGTCGGATAGTGCGCGGGCAAGACAAAGACGTCGAGCACACGGGAGAAGCGTAGATTCCAGCGCTGATTCGCCGCTGGCCAGACCGCTAGAGTGTGGGGGAAATGAAGGCCACGCTGCTTGGCGATTCGGCGTCTTTGTTCTTGGATTGGAGGCGGCTCATCCGGGTGTTTCTGGCAGTGAAAGAGCAGATCTGACAGGGCCAGAAGAAATCAAAGGGTGGGGTGGTCCTAGTGTGTGATTCGCCGCTTGCGGGCGCTTAACTGCAGCAGGTGGGGCCACATTCCCGATCACAAGAGCGTGCCTGGCGCTTTGCTGTTTCTGGCTTAGACTTGGCCCAATCAGCATCTCGGAAATCCCATCAGTGACGGAAATATTTTCTGCAGCTCCAGATGGGGACGTGATGCATTTTCGCTTCGACTTTTGCGCGCGCGCGTTTTCCGATTTCAACTTTGCTGAGCCACGCATGCAACCCCAAAATGCACACACGAGCGCTTCGCTTGCCTCCAACCGTGATCCTGTGACGCCCCGACGCTCTCGCCTGCTTCTGCCAGATCCCCAATGCAACCCTCAAATCCCATTAAACATTTTCTTTTTCTCAACGGATAAACGCCATCGCACCGCAACCCCCAACGTTCCGCCTTGGCAGCAGCGAGAGCCTCCCCGCCCCTCGACGTGCTGCCCGACTGCTCACCCTATAATGACCTCGGTGCCCTTGACGCCGAAGCTGCCGACAAACATGCAGCGCCCCGCTGGGCAGTTGGCGTGGAAGGCCACGACGCCGGCGCCGACGTCGGCCGTGGCGCCGCCGGGCGCCGTGAGGTTGAAGTCGCCCGTCTGCACCAGCGGCGCCGGCGACCGGCCGTACGGCCCCGCCACGGCCCGCGCGACGGCGTAGTTGACGTTGTAGCGCGGCGAGCTGAAGCAGTGGCTGCTGAAGAGCAGCACGTACGAGCCCCCGTCCCGCGTGCGCGCCAGCGCCGGCGCCTCCACCAGCGGGCCGTCGACGTCGGCGCGGTCCAGGATCTGCACCGCCGGACCGGCGGGCGTCACGCCGTCCGCCGCGCAGACCTCCTGCAGCATGATGGGCGTCGGCGCCAGCGGCGCCACCCCGTTGTTGCAGTCGCCGCCGTGCCCGATGCTGTTGCCGTCCACCTTGTACACCACGTAGCGCCGCCCCGTCGCCCCGTCCAGGAACCCGGACGGGTCGATGGCCCCGCCCACTTCCACGTGGCACGCCAGCAGGCTCGCCATCGGCCGGAACGGGCCCCGGATCGACCCTTGGGACGTCGCCGCCCCGATGCAGTGGCGTGCTGGGTCCGCCGCCAGCTCGCCCGAGTAGTACATGACGTAGGACCCGTTACCCAGCACGTGCACGACATTCGTGCCGACGTCATGTTTTTCGCCTAACTTCCGCGGTTATAGCAAGCGCCCCGGTTTTCCGAAGCCGATGCGCTTTACAACCGGCTAGCGGGCGGGAGGCATTATTAATAGTGCAGTTGAGCCCGCAAGGCCTGCCAAAATCGACAACAAGTTGCAAAAGTCCGCCGTTTATATACTTAACAAGGGCCGCGCGCTTGCGCGGAGGGTATGCACTGGCACGTCGCGGGCGGGGCCTTGTCGCCGCCGCCCACGCCAAAATTATGAGTTACTATTTGATGCCATTCCTACCAGGCTACGGGAGCTTACAACTAGGTTCGGAAGCTCGAAGCAGCAGCTTCCGTAACGTTAGGGAGAATCTTGGCGACGAGACGCTGCTTGCTTACACTATTTTCGGACTTGTCGCTGGCTTCGTTGCCTTGTTGGAGTCGGGATCGGACACCTGCTGAAGTCGGGCGGCAAGGGGGGCACTGGGCTAATGGCACAACGGTAAGCACGTGGTATTCCCACCGCCCCTCTGGGCGCCGCCTTATCGCATCATATCGTGCTTTATCGAACGGATTGGCCCATTCCAGAATAATGTCACTCAACCAGCCCGTCAGCATCGCCCTTTACCTCCCTCTTAGTAATGCTGTGGGCTTTTCCCGCCGGTTCGCACGATCTTTCAAGATGCGGGACGAAATTCGCGAGTTCAAAGAAGAGTCGGAAAATCGTTATTCCATCCCCCACTTCCCCTGAAATCCTCGTCCGGCGCCTCCCCTTTTGCATTCCCACGACCACCGATACGTCGCCGTCCTTGTCGAGGGCTTGCAAGTGGGCGTCTGCGAAGTTAAGGGCCAAACGGTACGTAGCAAGGCATAGCGTTTTTATCAGCTGACAACGGTGGAAGTGCCTCCACCGTAAAGGGTGATGGCTTCCGGGGAGGGTAGCTGGCGGCATGGTATCGGAATCATGGAGGCACAAGCCTATCCGAGCCCGCTTCAGACCCCTGTTCGTTCCCCAGCGGCGTTCCTGAGCCTCGCCATGACCAGGGGATGGAGGAGACTCGAGAAAGTTGGTCAAAAGCAACGCCTCAACCCTGGATGGAAGCGTTTTTATGGCAGGCACCGCCTCAGGGTGTGGGCCTGATGGAAGGCCGTCTCGAGACCAAAGCGTCGGTGACCCGGAGGGCACTTTCCGGGGCCTTGACGGCTTCGGGACGAGTACTGGGGACTCTCCGAGGCGAGGAGGTGCTTAACAAAGCCACAGCGGACACGTTGCACCGCCGGGAAGTCCCAGACGCGCCCGGAATGAGCACCAGTTAACACCACCCACTGAAAATACTCCATCGGGCAGCGCGGGTCAGCGAGTTGCCGAGAAAGGCGTCCATCAGGGCCGGCTCGGGCGTGTATGATCGGTTCAGCTTGAAGGGGTGGACTTGGGGGTTGAAGGAATGCATGTGGCAGTTCCACGCCATTGGTGGCAGCTGGAAGGCGGTGACGGTCATGTTTGCGGAGGAGACGCACTTCACTTGAGGGGGCCCGTGTTGACGGCCAAGTCAAGAGAGGCCTCGACTGGAAAGCGTTAAACACACTCAATCCCCTTTAATAGGAAGCACGCTTGGTTCACGGTCTCCATCCAACGGATCTCGCCTCCGCACGCGGCCTTGGGACCAAGATGCAAGTTGGTCAACAAATCTCAGACTCCCCCACACACTCGTCGCCGTGGGGAGGCCCCGGAGAAGGTCCCTATGCGTCGGAGGTCGCCCGAGGTGGGCCATGGTCGGTCACATCCCGACGTCGGCTGTTTCTGCTAGTAACCGCTCTTGCTTCTCTGGATTCCTGCTAGAGCCTTGCTTCCCGCGGGCGCCACAGAGGTTCGGGGTCGGCGCAGGGGGTCACGTGCGCCCGGGACGCAAGTGTCCTCCAGCTTCAGGAACAGTGATTAGATCGTTGGGATCGTTATTATCCTAGATCGCCACAGCAGTATAGGCGATTGGCAGCAGCCCCAAAGCTCTCCAAGTTATCGGCTGTCAGGAGCGAAAACTCTAACTTGAGCTAGCGAGAGCCCCCGCAGGCGCGTCTGCATGACTTTCTAACTCCTGCCCACCGGCCTTGGCCTCTGCCGCATCCACATTCTGCATGCGCTGCGACGCGGTTCTTTCTCGACCAGGCGACTCAGGGCCCGGAGGATCTAGACAGCTCTTCGCCTGCAACGCGACGTCAACCCAGATGCTCGCATTTCGTTTAACAAGCGGGTCTGTGGCTGACAGCGCTGTCGCCCGGGCGCGCGTATACTCGATTCACGGGCAGGCGCCTGTCGCCTGTCCGCGTCTCGGGTTGCGTCCCTGGTCCTAGCATTGGAGAGCAAGAACATCAAGGTTTGCAGGGGCCCCAACCCCGGCATCTCCGCCGCGGAATATCAGTCTGCCCGCCTGTGGGAGGCAGATTGCTGGCAGACACACAGCATCGTCCCCTTTGCCACAGCTTAGCGAGCCCCCAAGACCACAAAAAGTCTGACTCACTACCAATTCACCAAGTCCATAGCCAGCCACCCAAGCTGGCGCCCCGCGATGCCCGTGCAAGCCAAGAAACAAGGAGATGGAGAAAACACAGTGTCGGCGGCAAAGCTCGCCGAGCACCTCCGCTTTGTGCGCCAGCATTCACCCTTCTATGCGTCTAGTTGGAGCGGCGCCGATGTCCCCGAGGAGGTTGAGGCGCCAGACCTGCTCAGTCGCGTCCCACTGGTCGACCACAGCGCGTATTGGAGGGCCAACACATCTCGGGGGAGTCGAGTTCTGACTGGGCCGCATGAGGACGGCATCATCTTCAAAACGGGAGGTAAGTGCCCGTCCTACAGCGCTCACCCCGAGCAGGATGACCACGCAGTGTTTACCAACACGCAAGCGCAGGAACGACGAGCAGCCCCAAGGTCACCTTCTACAGCCATGCCGAGCTGCTAAACGTGTCGTTTCAGTTTGCCGAGTGCCTCGTGCAATGCGGCGTCGTCAGGGGAGACCGCGTGGCCAACCTGTTCTACGCCGGCGACCTTTACGGTAGCTTCCTGCTGCACATTCTCTCCGTCTTCCACATGGGCCAGCTCCCCGGCCTGCAAGGAGCCATTCAGGTGCCCATTGCCGGCCACGTCAGCATCCCGTCCATGGCCGGCTACATGACCGAGCTCGAAACCACTGTGGTCCTGGGGACCGTCACCACCATGTGCAAAATTGCCGAGCACCTAACGGCCACCGACCCAGAGACGGGGGAGCAGACGCACGCTGCAGAGGCGGCCGCTATCGCCAGCAATGTCCGCGTGCTGCTGTTCGCGGGAGAGCCTCTCTTCGACGACCAAGTCGCCGTGCTGCGCAAGGCCTTTCCCCGTGCCGAGGTCCGGTCCATTGTCTATGGCTCCATGGAATGTGGCGCCATCGGACTGCCTCCCGCGGGCCTGCCGGGCTCCAACTCTCTCTCGTCTTCCGAAAAGATGGACCCGCGTCTACACGTGGCAAACAGAAAATACAACGTCATCCTTGAGATCATGACCGAGGACGGCCGCGTGACGACGACGCCAGGCGAGGTGGGCAGCCTGGTGGTGACGAACCTCAACCGCCGCCTCATGCCCGTCGTGCGCTACCCGTCGGGCGACCTGGGGTGCTGGGTCGATTTTGAGTCTGGCCTGTTCCGGCTGCTGGGCCGGGACAGGCTGGCCCTCCGCATCGGGCCCGTCTCGCTCGACTTCTTGCACCTGCGCCAGATTGTCACCTCTGCCCTCGGCCCCGACAGGGCCATCGCTGGCCTGCAGGCCAGGGTGTCGAGAGTGGACTCCAAGGACCTGCTGACGGTCCTTGTGGCATACAGGCCAGCCACCGCCGCAGAGGAGGTTGGCTTGAGAAACGTGGTTGCTGCCGCACTCGATGAGGCGCGGCCCATGTTCCAGGGCCACGTCCGAGACGGGCTGATCAGCCCCCTGCACGTCGAGTTCGTCAGCACCGACGCGCTGGCGGTGAGCGAGAGGACGGGCAAGGTAGTCGACGTCCTAGACACAAGACCCACGGCGGTCTAACAGGGTTGGAGGCTCACGCCAGGTCATGCCTATCTAGGTATGTGGATGTGGAGACACGAATGTCGGGGATTGGAATGATAGAGTTAGTTAGGAATTTGCCAGGTGCATGTGAAAAAAAGCTAGTCTGTCTGCCAGTGCATCCATCGTTGAAATATCGAGCACCAACTGGAATTTATGGATCCCTGTTCTCAGTCTTTACGCGTAATCGCTTTCGGGCAGCCATGGGCTTCTCCACAAGCGTCCAATCTTTGAGAAACGTCACCTTGGAGGTTCCGAATGTGTGACTGACAGGTCCACGGTGAGCTTTGGGTCGATTGGCCGTCACAGCGCCGACTCGATGGCTGGAAGAAGGCATATATTTGATGCGGCCCCGAGGACATGAGAGGCTTCGGGTCACGGCCAAGCCATCTTCAATCCAGGTAAACGTGCCAACGACTGGCAGGGTGCCCTTGACAGTCCACTGGCGCCTCGGCTGGCCGGCAGCCCAGCAGCATTACCAGTTAGTCCACAGCATCTGCTTGTGGTCGACAAGGCTGCGCCGAGGCACCGCATGACGGCCGGTCTAAGGGTGTCAGCCCGGAACGGCGAGGAGAATGACGTCAAAAGTAGCAAGTCGAGCCGGTTATGTTAGATTAAGGCTTCTTCCGGCTTGGCAGCCCCCGATTCGTTAGCGGATGCTGGTGTAAGTTAAAGCTGCAGGTTGGGAAGCGAGGGCTCGAGCTTTGCGACACTCCTTAGGCTGCCTGTCTTGCAGGTGCGCTTGTTATGCGTTTGTCTCGGCCGGGTTTAATCGATTGGACGCTTGGTTGGGTTGCATTTGGGGGATTAAAAAACTTGTTTGGGAAACTAACAGCCGCGAGCCGCGAACCAGGGGCCGATATTTCCATTGCCTTTGCAGTAGCACCGTGGATCTTTGGGTTGTGTATTTTGGATGGTTGGGGAACGCTGTTCGGGCTATATCGAAAGTTAAAAAGCTTGTCTGGGTAAAATGACAGAGGTTTCCAAGAAAATTCGAGAGGAGAGGGAATCGAACAGGAGAACGAGTCGAGCGATAGAAAAGCGCGCTGGTTCCTGCAAACTCTAATGTATTGTTGCTCTCCCATCTGACTAGCCAGGCTCTCCCAGTCTGCCATCTAGGTCTACGGAGTCTAAAGGAACGATTGGGGACATAGAGAGGTGTTATAATCAAAAGCCAAATGTCGAGGGATGGCTGCTAGTCAGCGCCTCACGTGACGACGCGCCAGAAACGTGATCACACGGTGCTAGGAGGAAAGCTATAAATGGCCACCTGTGTTTGCGAGTCCTGCAGCTTCAGCGACTGTGAAGCTGCATGGTGAGTCTGCGCCTCTTAGTTGCTGGCCTACTTCATAGCGCCAGGGACCTTGGGGTCCCGCACGACGTACTTGCACGTCGTGAAGGTGTCCTAAAGGGTCGTGACAAAGTTGCGGTTGTCGCAGTGGTAAAGGTCGCCCAAGACGGCTTGATGGCCTCGGTCGCGTCCTCGGCGTAGTAGAAGGGGATGCGCTTAGCGGGATCGTTAGCAGTTAATATGGGCCAGGTGGTCGTTGGAAGCTCGGCAAACTTACGGGAACAGGTGGTGGGCAACGTGGGTGCCGATAATGCCACGGAAAATGTAGCGGTCGATAAAGCCGAAATCACGGTCGATGGTAGCGACGGCACCCTTAACAAAGGTCCAGCTGTCGGCCTCGTAATAGTGCACGTCGTGGTGCGTATAGTAAAGGTACGTAATAGCGACTGTATTTTAGCAACGCCGGGGACAAGTTAGCAGGACGATCCAGGAGCGATTATGCGAGTGGCAGCTAAGCCGCACGGCACGCTGGGGAAGGAAACGGGACGGGAACGCACTCAGCCCGTTATAAACCCACATATAAGGCACAACGTAAAGCACATTAACTAACACAGGACGCGGGCGCTGGCTGGCTCAGCGCCGGTTGCCCGCTGCCGCTACTATACTGTGCTTTTTTGCAACGGCCTGGCCGCTAAGTTGCTCCAATTGCAACGCATATAGCTAGCATTCGATTGCTAGCCCGGGGCCCCCTTAGAAAACGCCAAAGGGCCGTCCCGGCCGCAGGCAATGCACGGGCGCTACCACAAGCCGTTTTCTTGCCTCGGCCCGAGGTGGAGCCTTTGTGGGAAATCCAGGGTCCTCCGAACTTTAACGTTACCCCAGCCCAACCAACGCCCCCCTTTTGATGTTCCATTTTGCTTTGCTCCATTTTGTATAGCTTTGCTCCATTTTGTATAGCTTGGCCCTTATGCAAGGGTGCTCGGCCTACAGCCCACTGCCTGCCGCCGTCCACCGAGGAGCCCGCCACGAAGTGCTGGATACGACGACCGGCAGGCATCCCATAGCTCCTGCTCCGATAAGTGAAGGGCAAGTGCCTGCCGGTGTGTTTGAAGTGGGTTTAGCCGCATCCGGAGCTCCTAGTGGTCCGCTCGCACCCCACTCTGCATGTGCTACCTGACGTCGTAGCAAGGGCCGAGTCATTACGAACTGAATCACGTAACTTACCATCTAAAAGAAAGGGTAAAAACTCACCCAGCAACAGGGGGGTTAAAACTGGAAATCACAGGGGTGGCGAAAAGGGGATCACGTGCTGGCATAAAGTTACTGCCATTGTTGAAGTTGGTAAAAAAAGGAGAGAAATCGAAAAAAGCTTTTAGAGGACGAAAAATTCTCGAAGTCTTGTAACATCCCCACAAGTCACCAAAACCCCTGCGATCCCCAGTTTCAAACCCCCTGTTGCCCCCTTGTTACTGGGTGGGTTTTTATCCTTTGTTTCCCTCGCAGATGGTACGGTCGCCGCCTTGAAGGCTAACTTGTCGAGACACAGGCCCGCAGCGGACGCAAGCTAACACAAGCTCAGGTTAGGGCGACGCCCAGCGTTCACACACTACCGCACACCTGCCTGGCCCGGGTTAAGCTTAAGCTCTTACCCGGATGAACGTCATGTGGGCTTCACGTAAAGTTTGTTCCGGCAGTGCCCGTTCTGCCCCAGACGTTGCTGCTCGCACGACATTTCCTGCAGAATTCTCTTTTGCCGCGCCGACTGCGCCGGGATCCCCGCCGCCTGCCTGGCTGAGTTATCAGTTGCCAAAGCCGCTTGAAAAGCGGAGTCGCGGCCTCCGTGCTAGGTTTAGTGTTTAGGCGCCAGCTCGGCTCGGCTACACCGGCCAGTGACGCTGGTCCCGATTCCTCCCATAACGCTCCGGCAGGCGCGCATTACTTCAAACGGATGTATAACGTTGCAGTCGCTAGTCGTCGCCACGCCCTCGGTACCCTGTCTGGAAGCACATCTCGAGCGAGTAAAACACAAAGCACTTGGGTCCACACGGCCGCGAGAAGGTTTTGTTAAAACGACAGGCTGTTCACAGCATATCAACAGCCAATAGCAGTAAATTTTTAACATCGTTACACAAGACGCCAGCTGTGTTCGCCCGCATCGCAATCGTGAACTTCCTGCTGTGATTGGTGTGCGACGTAGCAACGGCAACGGCAACATGCCAGCGGGATGTCGTTGTCGGTTGGCTTGGCCTGCCCCGTCGATGCTAAGTCATTTCCTTATGTGATTGGGTCACCAGGCCCCGCCGCAGGCATAGAGCCTAGTCAGATACGCGTGTCCCTATTGTGTGTCGTCAAAGACATGCCAAACTTTATTTTATGAGCCCTGTCTGCCCGGCAAGTCGCCCGGCACAAACAGTCGTTTGCCCCTAAGCCTCGTCTTCACTGGGGCAAGGAACGTTGTCCTCCTCTTGGGTAAAGATGCAGTTGTGAGCATTGCTGATTTGCACGCGGTTGCGGTTTTCTATAAGTAATCATCAGCCCGCCGCCTTTTGCACCTCATAGCATCTCTGTTGTCACACTTCATCGTTTTGAATAAACAGTCCGAACCATTAAACAAGAGCTTTTCCTGGCACGGCAGCCTGTTTCTTTTGGTATCCTTTGGCCACTACTACCACCTTGTCTTTCGCCTAGACTTTGATACGTTTTCGCGCACTTCAAGCCCTGCTGTTCTGCCACTGCAGCAAAAGCCGGCGCGGCCTATTTTACATCCACCACTGCCCTCGTCCCAAGGCCTGCCCAAGATGGCGTTTGTGGTTCACGTCGCCATCGGCCTGATTTTCCTTACGCTGGTCTGCATTCAGATCTACCAGCTTTCCAAGGCCCTCATGTCACCGCTGAAACGAGTTCCAGGCCCTTGGTATGCACCCTTCACCATCTTGCATCTTTGCTACGGCTTCTCCACTGGCGAGATTTGGAAGGCCGTGGAGAAGGCTCATGCCAAGTACGGACCTATCGTCCGCCTGGGGCCGAGGCAAATCTGGATTGCAGACAAGGACGCGCTCAAGGATATACTCTTGCGCATCGACCTGCCAAAGGTGGCCATGTACTCGGAAATTTCCAGAGACAAGCACAGCCCCGGGCTCTTTGGAGAGATGTAAGCGCTTCTTGTCCCTTGCCCATTACTTCTCGATGAAACCTGGTTTTGTTCCCAGTCTTGTCTTGCGACTAACCTGTCACGCTTTCACCAACAGCCGCCCAGAGCCTCATCGTCGCCTCAAGAGGTTCCTGTCACCCGCATTCACGGTTCATTACATCGACAACCTTGAGCTGTACTTCCAGAAGACGGTCCGCGACCTGCTCAACAAGTACGATGACCGTATTCGGATTGATCCTCTGGCTGCTCAGGTAAACGGCATCGAGGTAGACCTGATGGATGACCTCCACAATGTTGCCTTGGACATGTAGGTCTTAGTTCAATACCCCCTCTTCTGTTACGTGCTTTGAGAATCTCGACCTGGCTAACCAGCTGCAGCATGGGAGAATGCTCGTTTGGAAAGGGCTTTGGCCAGACGAACCCCGACTCCATAGAGGTTGAGCAGGGCGTGGACGAGCGAGTGTGGAAGTCCATTCCGAGGTCCATTTTCGACGGCCTCAGCAAGCGCTACCAGACAGTCTACATCAAGAAATTTCTGCGCGCGATCGGCCTCGACGTCAACTTTGACTGGCCCGCCGAGATGATTACAGCCATTGACGCCGTCGTTCAGCGCCGCCGCCGGTCCGAGAAGGGCGACGGCCGCCCCGACCTGCTGCAGCACCTTATAGATGAGGGCAAGAAGCCGGACAGTGGCAAGGCGATGAACACGCGCGATATCGTCGACCAAATGGCCGAGATCCTGCTGGCCGGCTCCGAGACGACGTCAGGCACTATCGCCTGCCTGTTCCTCGAGCTCGCCCGCAACCCGGACGTGCGGGCCAAGTTGCTGGCGTCGCTGGCGCCCAAGGGCATCCACGACGAGATCGTGGCCAGCAAGCTTATCCGCGAGGGTGCCGCCGGTAGCGAGTACGAGTACCTCGAGGCCTGCATCAAGGAAAACCTGCGGCTGCACCCCATCGCCTCCGAGATGGGCCGCCGCACCGGCAGCCAGTGGGTTACCCTCATGGGTTACCACCTGCCGCCGCACACCGTTATCTCGGCCTCTTACCGCGACCTGCACCGCAACGCCAAGTACTGGCCCGAGCCCATGCGCTTCTGGCCTGAGCGCTGGTTGCCCGAGGAGAAGCGCTGCGGCGCCCCGGCTCCTGAGTAAGTAGAGCCGTTGCCTCTGGCAGGACGTGTCGGTTGAGAAGCCAGGCTTGCTGACAGATGAACTTTTAGCATGAACGCCTACTACCCCTTCTCCGCGGGCAAACACTCTTGCATTGGAATTAAGTAAGTTTCTGAATAGCCCTAACGGCTTTGTGCAGGAATACTGACGATTTGCCGAATTGTAGCTTTGCCTGGGCCGAGATGCGCATGGTTGCCGCCAACATTTTCTCCCGGTTCGATATCAACGAGGTCCAAGGCCAGGAAATTGATTTCCGCCAGTACATTACGATGCAGTTCCATACTGGCCATTGGCGCGTTGTCCTTAAGCCTCGCAAAACCTCGGATGTCCCAGAGACTACGGAAGCGAAGCCGTCGTTGTTGGACTCCTAAATGGGTTTCTGTCACAAAGAGGACAGTGTACACTGTGGAGAGGAGGTCTCAGGCATAGATATCAGATATCAGCTACCTGAGGCATCGGAAGAGCGGTCCCTCTGGCTGGGAGCGCATGACGCTTCCAGGCATCAGGAGGGAAGCTTAGTAAGCAAGGAGGACAGGGGAGTCACGTGTATATAAAGGGCAGAGACCCCTACGGGGCCCTGCACTTCAGATCCTTTCCTCCTTAGAGCAAATCAACCGGAATAGCCCTACACTGTGCCTATCCCTTCTGCCTGCAACAGTTTCTCAGTCGCAAGTGCCTCGCCGGGCGTGGGAGTAATGCGGCCCCGCGCACTTTGAAAACTGCGGCCATCCTTGATAAAAGGTGTGGAAGGTTTAAAAGGTTTAGAGCTGTTTCTTGTATGGTTTTGGTCCTATTTGCCCGTAGCCCCTGGAATCCTCTTCCGGCAAGATATTTATATAAACCAAATAGACAATACCAAGAAACAAATGCTGTTCGAGTCGTTCTGTCCCCATCTCCAGTTTACCTCCCGCGCGAGCCCAACTTTAGTTTTGGTCCGGCTCCACCGATTACTTCGACCGGATAACAGGGCCGCCCCTTTTTGGAGCTTGCTGCTTAGGTTAGCTAGTCCGTCGACGCCAAACATGGTCCAAGGACTGGCACACCCGAATTCGGCCCAACTGGTGCAGCTTATGCCCGGCTGGGCCTTGGCACTCGAGAGATTCTTATTAACACTAGCGCCAAAGTCGGAGGGTTTGGTAAGCGTACCCGGAATATCGAGCCCAAAGCCGTTCAAGTTAACGAGGTCCCAAACCATCTTAAAGGATAGGAGTCGTAACGCACGAGTTTCGGGCAGTGGGTTCGCGGGAGGAGCTATAGCCGTTGTGCCGCTAGTAAGCACCAAGCGATTGTAGCAAGGATGGTGGAAACCTGCATTGCAGCGGTTAGCGATATGCAAACCAATGGACTACGATGGGGGGGGGATTTTTTGCGATGCACGTGCGGCTTTAAAGTAACTCCAGCTCGCACCAGCTCGGAATTTCAGGGGCGCAAACCAATACCGGTGGCGTTGAAAGGCCAAAAGCGGCATTACGCTCACTTTAAAGCTGCTGCTATTGCGCATTACAATTAACGAAGCAAAATAATTAGTTACGGCTTTGTTTAAACCTGGCATAACTGGAACATGGTGCGTATCGCTAACTTTATGTGTGAGGTGGGTCCCAGGCACGTGAGTGCACGGCCCACCCCGATGGATAAACCTGGACCGCCTACGGGTATTCTGCACCAGCCGTAGCCAGAACAAGACATGCCACTTTCCCAATGCGGTATCGCCAAGCGTGATACCTCACACACTTTAACAATTTTGTAATAAGTTAAACCATTAGTTAGTGCTTGGCAAGTGCCGAAGTAGTGTTATTTTACGAAATAAGGAAAAAGGAAAAAAAATTCGGTTTTGTCCTTGGGAAATTCGGGGTAGTTCTTATTATACATAAGTCCTAACCCAAGGGTACCCTTTAAATTACGTAATTCGTACCCAGTGTTGCGGTACGCGTCGGGACACTTAGGGAAAAACCTAAAGTCACATTCTTAACGCGTTAACGCCACGCTTACAAAACCACAACGGAGCGCTAAGGTGTAACGGGGACGCCTTGGTAAGGGATCCCGGGGCTTGATATACTGTGGTGCCAGAGGGTTCAATCACGAAGTGATTGAACTGTTGGATCTTTTGGGTCTATGTAGTGGAGCGGTACTCTGGCACGCCCCCCTTACATAAGGGCGCTTTGTCCAAATAGCTTCCTCCTCGTGCAACGACAAAGCCTTTTCCGTAACGTTCCAGGTGTGCGCCGTGGCACTTAGTATGGATTTATAATATAGCTTTTTTTGCCCCGTCCCCCCCCCCCCCCCCCCTGGTAAAACGGGTTGTAATAGCTTTATTTTTTTCGTATTTATTGTATCCTTTTTTAAGCTGTAAACGCTGCGCATTTTGTCCAAAACCTTGTTATAGAGTTTAAGTTAGTTAAGGGCCGAACTAGTACTTAGGTGGGTAACCACTGGGGAATCCTCGGTGTTGTATATTTTTTTATGTATATTTCCGGTCGTACTCCCAGAAAACCGGCCTGCCCGAAAACGACAAAGCCGCCTGGGACCAGTTCAAAAAATTGCTTGAACGTTTGGTTCTTGGGGACATTTATCTGCCTTTATCCTCCGAGCTCAAAGGAGGGCGCTGCCGAGCCTCGCTTTGGGACACACCCGCTTGTAAATGACCATACTGGCGGGCAATCCATGGTCTTTGTCCATTGGGGCAGAACGAGAACTGGCCCCCGCCGAATCCGGCCGGAGTTGCCGATCTCTTTGTCGACGCATCGCCCGGGCGAACCATCCGCCGAATCACGGTTTGATAGATCTCGACCTTTTCCGGGTGCCAAGTGTGTCCATGGCCGCATGTTCCAGATCGCCATCACAACGCAGCGAGACATGGGCGTCATTGAAGACTTCCGAGATGTATATAAACGGCCTTTGAAGTTAACCCGACGGGTTCCCGAAATCTTGCTCACCACCGCAGCTCTCCTGGAACTTCACTGTTTATAGACATCTCCGCAAGCTCGGTCAAGTCGCTTCGGCCTCGAGTAATCAGAGCACGACGCGATATTCTCGGCTCTCAGAGACTGCGCTGCATAGCCCCCCTTGTCACTTCTCCTCTACGGCTCACCACCGTCTTTTGGCACCTACTCACCCTCGTCCCACCCACGTCGAGACAACATGTGGACCAAGCTCGCACTCCGCGCGGCCCTAGCCGTCCTCACCATCGCCCCGTCCGCCCCGGCCCAGCAGGCCCAGGCCGGCACCGGGCCCCTGCAGCTGCAGGTTGCCGCGGCGGGCGGCAAGTCCCCCTGGGAGGGCACACTGTCGCCCGGCACCGCGGCGCCCGGCGGCGGCGGCGGCGGCTGGAAGTACGTCGGCTGTACGGCCGAGCTCTCATCGGGCCGCGCGCTGTCGGGCTCGACCATCAACCCGCAGAACATGACCATCGAGCTGTGCATGGACTACTGCACCGAGCGCAACTTCCCCTACGCCGGGCTGGAGTACTCGCAGGAGTGCTACTGCGGCCTCAAGCCGCACAAGGACTCGACCCCGACCCCCAACGCCGAGTGCTCGTCCCCCTGCAAGGGCAACGCCAAGCAGCTCTGCGGCCGCGGCGGGCGCCTCAGCCTGTTCGAGAACACGGCCTACGTGGCCGCGTCCAACGCGCAGCGCCTCGGCGCCTGGTCCTACGTGTCGTGCTACATGGAGCCGCAAAGGGGCCGCGCCCTGCCGGACCGCCTCCGCAGCGCCGCAAACATGACGGTCGAGGCCTGCCACGACTACTGCGACTCCGAGGGCATGCCCTTTGCGGGGCTCGAGAACGGCCGCGAGTGCCGGTGCGGCCGCGCACTGCGCCAGGGGCTCGAGGACGCGTCCGACCCCATGTGCGCCATGCAGTGCGACATGACGTGCCTCGGCAACGACAAGCAGTTCTGCGGCGGCTCAAAGACCATCAACGTCTGGCACAAGGACGCCGCCGCCGCCGCCGCCACCACCAGGAGGGACGTCCAGCGCCGCGAGGAGATGCTCCGCGAGCACAAGCGCGAGGCGGCCCATAACCACGGCGGCGGCGGCGGCCTTGGCGCGCGGTTTGTCAGGGCACGCCGCGCCGCTGTCGATGCCCCCGGTGCTGCCGCGGCTGCCGGGGTTATCTGATGCTCCCCCACAGGAGGGTAGGTAACCACGGGCCACACATCAATCCACGGCATTTCACTGTCACGCTCGGTTTCCTTGTACTGGTTTTCTTTGTTTTGTGCCCTATTTCCTGTGTCTACCGCTCTGGATTCTACGCGAAAATGACCAAAAAGAGCCCATGAGGAGTTGATAGAAAGGATGTGTCTGCACTTTGAGATATCTCTTTCTGTCTACTACCTACGAGATGAGAAAACTTTGGTGTTGCTAGTGTTAAGGGATAACAGCTTGTTTTCATGATACATATTATCGATGTTGCATCTATCACACCTGGTGTCAGGTACTCCCTGAGGCAGATAGATCCTTTTTTTCCTTGTTCAACACATAGACAATACGAGGACCGTACAACAATCACCATATCCATCTAACCAGGTCACGCCTACCTAGGTAGCCAACATGTGGTACAACACACACGTGGTCGCCAAATGAGCCGGATATCAAGATGGAAATATTGTATTTCATAAAACACAAGCAACTATCCCAACGCCGGTATGACTCCTGCCGAAACAAGTACCATTTTTGGAGAAATTTGCAGTAGACAAGTGTGGAGCGCCGCCTGGAAATTATGCCCTTCTGAACATGACCATCCATCTTCGACAAATGCTTCGCAGGCATATATGCGCCAAAAGGAGATATGGAGACAAGAGAGCAAGATATACAACCGAAAGTCGGCAAAGCCATAGGAACAAGAACTAAATGAAAAGAGGGCTGAGAGAACCATTTAGTCGCTCTCTTCGGCTTCGGCAGCTGCCTTGGATGCCCTCTTCTCCTTCTTCTCCTTCTTCCTGCGCTTGCGCTCGGCCTTCTCTTCGGCGGTCTCGCCCTCATGCTTCGATTTTCGCTTCTTGCCATCCTCAGCATCGGCATCGGCCTCCTTGGATTCCTCTGCCTCGGCGGCGGCAGGCTCGATGGCCTTGACGGGGTTTTCCGTGGCCGCGGCAGCGGCATCGGGAGCGGAGGCTGAGTAGTCTGTGTATTTGGAGGTCCACTTGGCCGGGGTCTCGGCATTGGGGCGGCCGTACTTGTCCAGCTTGCCGTCGGCCTTGAGCTTCTTCTTCTCGCCGGCCACGGGGCCGAGACCCCAGCGCCTCGGGTACAGATCCCGCTCCATAATACAACGCTTTACCTTGGCAACAACGCCGTGATCGCACGACGAGATCTCGACCGTAGACATCTGGGCGATACCAATAGCGATGGCCTCGCCCTTGGTGGTCATCAAAACAACCTCCTCATGGAGCTCGATATCAGTCTCTGTGGGCGGCGTCAGCAACATGATCTTGTGGCAGAAATTCCAAGTGCTCTGGTGGACTTACCATAACGGAGAAGACCCGGCAACATCAGCTTGGCGCCGTAGCAAACGGCGTTGACGGCACTGTCCTTGACGACCAGGCGCTTGTAGGTAGTGAGCAGCGTCTCAAGAGGCTGGATAACCCTCCTCAGGTACGACTCGTCGCGGGCGTTGTCCATCAGCCACTGGGCATCGAGGACGTCGTGCAGGGTGACAAGGTCCTTGGTCTCGTCCATGGCACCACTCCTGACACGACGCAGCTCCTGCATGTGAGCGCCAACACCAAGCAAGAGACCAAGGTGGACGCAGAGGGTACGGATGTAGGTTCCAGCCTCGCAGCTAACCCAGAAGACGCCAAGATGGCGGTCGTTGTCGAACTCGATGAGCTTGCTCTCGTGAACGGTTCGGATACGCAGCTGGCGCTTGACGGCCGAGATCAGGGGCGGGCGCTGGAACAGGGCACCGGTGAGGTGCTCGAGGGCTCGTGCGAACTCGGGCTGGCCGCCGGGAACCTTGTCGTGCATGCGGATAACGCACACATACTCCTTTCCGGCGCCCTGCTGCGACTTGACCAGCCTCGTGGCGCGGTCCACGCATACGATCAGACAGCCCGTGACCTTGGGGTCGAGGGTGCCACTGTGGCCAGTCTTTTCACACCTGTTGCGAAATGAGTGTCAGCAAAAAACCACGTCTCTCGACACCGACATGGCGGGTTGGTGGCAGTACCTCAAAATACGCTTGATCCATGCGACGACTTCGTGACTGGATGGGTTGGAGGGCTTGTCCAGGTTGATGACACCGGAGCTGATGTACGACTTGATGTCGCGGCGCAGCGGCGTGCTGCCGCTGGGGATCGGGGTGAAGTGGCCGGTGCGGACGTGGACTGTTGTAGGACGCGGAGGCGCGGTTAGCGATGTTGGCTACAAACGGGCCGATGCGCCGACACAACAGGGTGCGGCAGGCGAGGGGTTCGAGGGCTCATTCCGTACGCTTGTCATAGTTCTTGAGCAGCAGCGGCCAGTTGCTGGTGTCGAGCGAGGGCGTCACCTGCTCGGGCTTGATGCTGTACTCTTCGTCCACGTCGTCCTGCCTGACGAGAGCCATTTTGCCGGACTTTCAGTTTGCCTATAGCGAGCGGCCTTGGTAGTTCTTTGTTGCAGCTGCGGCCACGGTCTGCGAGGGACAATTGAAGGAAGACGTGATTCCTGTCCAGAGACTCAATTGCACCCCAGTTGTTGAAGGGCGCAGTGGCTTTGCTGTTCGTTTCTGCGGTTCGACCGTTTGTCGCGAAATTTCACGTCAAAAGACGAAGCTCTAAATTTTTTTCTTTCTCTTTGGTCCGCCGCTGAAAAGTGGTGGAGCTGAAGCAAAGCGGTGTCGTTTTGCCCCACTTCGCGCGGAGCTGTGTGCTTCAGCCACAGGTACCCCCGAAAACCTTTCGCCCCTGTGGCGGCGCATTCGCCCTCGGCTGGGTGACCCTTCTGCCTTGGATATGCTTTACATCACGGGACCGCGCACATGACTGCCTCACTTGCTCCACAAGCTTCCAAGCCCACATGGCAGCCCACACCATCAAAAGCCACCCCGTCATCGCTCCCAGGATCCCTGTTCTTGGCATTTTTGCTTCTTCTTCGATAGAGGTCAGCAGCTCGCGCGTCCGGACATTGATCCGGAGATTACGATATGCGCGTCGTCGAGGGCTGCCAATGAAGAGCACGGCTGGCGACCCGGCGGGCAACCCTACAACCGTGGATACCATCGGCCGCTGCCCATCGCAGCGCAGCGTCATCTATTTGTCTTGGTCCTTTTTTCGAGTCTACCGTGTACGCGTCTTCAGCTAAGGCCTACCTTCCCGTAGTCCTACATGGGCCAACTATGGCCGGCTTGGAATGCTTTCGGCTTTTTGTTCTGACTTCTTTGGTGCATGTATAGGCGGTAGGATCGACAGACAGCAACTGAACTGGCAAAATGCACCCTGGTTTATCGCAAACCGCTCGGCTCTAGTGCCGAACGCCTCTGGCCTGATATTCGTGACGACATGCGACCAAAACCCGAGTCCAAAGACGCACACGCACATTAGTCCAAATGTCAAAAAGCGGGATGGACGTGTGAACCAGCCGGACAAGACAAAGGCCCTTGCGCACAAGCCGAATATGGCAGGTGGAGATACCAGGCATGAAAGGGGAAGGATTCCCATTCGCCTCTAGGACTCGCACTATTACCGCTAGGTCGGATCCAGCATGTGTCTGGCCTCAGTCTTATCACCAACAGCCTTGATCCTCTGAGGCTGTCGACGATCCGCGAACGGTTCGGGGCTAGCAGGTTTGTTAGCGCCCCCCCTAGACCTGGTCCACAAGCTGAAGACATGCGACGATGCCACGCTAACAGCAATATTACTTTTGTCAGAGCACTTTTTGCTTTTTTGTTGAGTCCCCTTTCGTGATCTCGTTTATACTCTTGCCTTACTCGGAATTATGTGCTGAAATATTGACAGGGATATGATAGACTTCCTCTCCATTCAAACCACCTGCAAAGACGGCAGAGCCCCGGGCCCCAAAAACCTGCGGGAGACAAGAAATAGACGACTAGGAGCAATTTAAATCCCGATTTGCTCGGGAATCCATGATTCGAGTTTCCTATACGAGGCGGCATTGATCCGCCGCGCATAATACGACGATTGACGAGCTGTAGGTCTCCATCGGCCACCGGCCTCTACACTTGCTGGGTCCAGGGCTGGGGCGGGACATGGAGGGTCGGACAAAGGCCTTGTGGCTCCATCAAACAGACATGTCTTAAAAAGACCCGAGTCCCCCAAGAGAGAGGCTTAAGCGTTCGATCACCAAGTCCCCCACAGGGTGCTTGCGATCGGTATCGAAGCACAACGATCGCCCTGGCCCCACGACTCCGCACTTGTCGAGTCGAGAAGTTGAGTCCACTTTCGGGGCAGGTTGCCGTCGGGCGAGCGTGTCTAGTTCCTAGCGTGGCCGCTTGCGGGCACGGCTCTGTCATCCGAATACCACGCCTCGCTAGCGGCCCTACCATATCTAGCAAGCCACGGAGACCTGGTCTGGTCTAAACAAGCCGGCATCAACGCCATCTGACGACATCCGAGGCGCCAGCCCCATCTGGGATGGAAGTGTGACGGCTAGGGTCCCCGACACGCTCAGCACGAAGGACACAATCACCAACCTCCGAAAAAAATCCGCACACGTAAGTAAAAGGGGCACACTTTGAAGCCAATTTACTCACAACAAATAATAGCCAGCGCCTATTTTTATATACTATCTAATGGGCAGTCATTTTCCCTACGCCCTCTATAATTTTTGAGAGGATCTGAGGCGCGTGTTGCGGTGACGAGCCATTGCAATCAATTGATTTGATTTTGTTTTGTGCGGTTTTTTGCTGGAGGCTGGCGACAATGTCTTCGGCCGAGCGTGTCCCCGCCTTCTTCCAACTTCCTCTGCGTGCTCACCGCGCACATTGCCATGTGAGGATCGGCGGTTACGCAGACAGTCCTGTCCTCTGGTCTGGATTAAGGCTCAAATGGTCGATACAGTACCACGGTTCCTCAACGCACCACCGCAAGGCAACAATACACGAGATTTACCGTCCAGAAACTTGCCATGCACCGCATCACCAGCCACCCGCCAGCCCGGCTGGGGGCTCTCCAGGGAACATGGGGGTCTGGATGATGAACAGGTGGACTCGGGGGTGGGGAGGGGTGTAGGGGTGGGCTGGCCGTTGTACCATGTCTCATGAACTACCCGTCAAAGTCGCCTAGGCAATCTTCGCCGAGGCAATCTTCGCCCGTGTACAAGGCCGATGTTTCGCGCCAACGAGCCGGCCGGCCACAGAAACCACTGGCGAGCCACATCTGCCCATGGCTGACCTTTCCGGGTCTCGGCTGCCCCTGTCCCTGACATGGTCACACCCGGGGCAGCAGTAGCCTCCACATAGGTCTAGGCGAGGTGGTCACCCGGTGCCTGGATTCGGGTTCGACATATATATCCGTGGTGCCCTTACTTTTCCCTCCGGCGCCCAGGTCTTGGCCACACGCTATTCTCAAGATTTGGCACTGGAAGGTTGGCAGCAGTGGCTTAACGCCTCGTTCCGATCCAGTCACTGCAGCATACCTAAATTCCTTTACCCATAACACACGCGCATACTGCTATACGCCGCTGCCGCCATCCGATCAAGGTCGAAGGCTCGAGCCTTGGGACGGGAAACGGCCGAGGGGTATAAGGATCGACGAAAGCGAAAAATGGTGTGCCTGGGAGGGGGCGCAGAAATGAGCTCGATATCTCTCCCCAGATCCATGAGTGATCTTGGCGGCGATGATGCCGCAGACATTCCCGACATCCCAATGCACAGAGGGCAGAGGAACGGCGCAACCGTGTTCCCAGACACGGTCTCGACGTTGACCTCGGTTCTTCCGGGGATAAGGAGCTCCAAGCCTGGAGGCGGGCCAATTAGCCCCAAAGGGATTGCATACATGCAAAGGTTGGTGTCTAGGATCTGCGCCTAGTGGACCGCCACGCAGCCTCGGATGCAAGGGGACCTTGTACCCGGCTTCGAGGCGCCGAGTAGAAGGGGATAGGCAGGGGCTGACCAAGAAAAAACAATGTCAACCTTTATAGATCAACGACCCCAGGGCCGGCCCCAGGACCGCTTGGTAGAATGGTGTCGCCAGAACCCTACGACGATTCAATCATGGACACCGGAACGCCCTACGCCTCGACATACCAACGCAGCCTGCTGTCTGCCCGGTCAAAGGGCGTGTCCATTGCCTCAACCTACCTAACCAGCGCCACCTCGCTCGCGGCGCTGCAGACCAAGGCGGCCGACGACGACGAAGCGCTCGAGCCGCTGGCCGAGGAGGAGATCGAGCCGGGCAGCTTCGACCTCGTGGCGCCGGCGCTGGGCGAGGCGGGCTTATACTCGCTCGAGCGCCGGTCCGAGCTGCTCTTCTCCAAGGAGCACCTGCGCAAGATCTTTGACGACTCGATCCTGCTGCAGCGCTTCACCACTTTCCTGGCGGCCGCGCGCCCGGCGTCGCTGCCGCTGCTCATCTACTACCTCGACGCGCTCAAGGCGATGCGCGCGCTGGCCTACGCAAACGCCGTCGTCGAGGCCCTCGGGCCGCTCGACGGGCACGACTTCTCAAAGGAGCAGGTCGCCGCCACGGCTAACCAGTCGCTGGCGACGCGCGCCGAGGCCGCCTTCGAGGCGCTGGCGAGGGACGACATGCCCGCTTACATCACGCACGTGTGGATCCAGACCGTCAGCGTGTCCATCAAGAAGCGCATCACCGGCACGCTGCCGCCGCACCTGCGCGAGATGTCCGAGGGCCTGGCCGAGGTGTTCTGCCTGACGGACCCATCCAGGCACGACAACCCCATCGTGTTTGCGTCCGAGGGTAAGAGATGCTGCCCACCGATCAGGGAAGGTCTTTGGAAGAATGAGGACGGCGGACTAACATGCATTCCAGAATTTCACCGCACAACACAGTACGGTATGAGCTACGTGCTTGGTAGGAACTGTAGGTTTCTTCAAGGGCCAAAGACGAACCCTAACTCAGTCAAGCGGCTGGCCGAGAAGATACATGCCGGAAAAGAGTGCTTCGAGACGTTTTTGAACTACAGGAGAGACGGTTCACCGTTCATGTAAGTGTCATGTTGTCGTTTGTCAGCGGCAAGGATGACGACGTCCTAACACACTGAGCAGGAACCTTCTCATGGTGGCTCCCTTGTACGATAGCCGAGGCGCCGTGCGATACTTCATCGGCGCGCAGGTCGACGTGTCGGGCCTCGCCAAGGACTGCGTTGGTCTCGAGTCGCTCCGGCGGCTCGTCGACGAGGACGAGGGCCTGGCCATGCCCAACGAGGAGCGCAACGCATCCGCAGCAGCAGTGGTCGCCGCGGCGGTTGCGAACGGCAACAACACCAACGGCGAGGCCACCGATGGCCAGACGGAGCGCACGGGGTCGCAGGGCTCCGGCGGGTCCGACAGGAAGACGGAGATCCGCGAGCTGTGCGAGATGTTCAACCTCCAGGAGGTCGAGACGGTGCGACGGCACGGCGGCAGCATGCACCGGCTGCAGGCCGAGGAGCTGGTGCAGGCGCCCGAGGACCTGCCGCCGCAGCAGAATTGGGGCAAGCAGCGCGTGCTGATCCAAGACGAGGCCTCGTCCGTCGGCAGCGCCGAGCGCGACGACGAGCCCCTCTCTCCCACCGGCGCCGGTGGCGGGCACGAGCACGTCGCCTCTGCCGCCTCGGCTATCCCGCACGCGGCGGGCGGCGATGGCGACGACAGCAGCGGCTCGGGCTGCGCGCCGCACCTCAGCGGGCGGCTGACGGGCGTGTACGAGCACTACCTCCTGGTGCGGCCGGCGCCGTCGCTCAAGATCCTCTTCGCCTCCCCTTCGCTGCGCGTCCCCGGGATCCTGCAGTCGCACTTCATGTCCAAGATCGGCGGCTCCGCCCGCGTGCGCGACGAGCTGACGGCCGCGCTGTCCGACGGCCACGGCGTCACGGCAAAGGTTCGCTGGGTGTCTTCGGTCCGCAACCCGGGCCCCGGCGACGGCCGCCACCGCTGGATCCACTGCACGCCGCTGCTGGGCGGCAACGGCGCCATCGGCGTGTGGATGGTCGTCATCACCGACGACGACGGCGACGGCGTCGGGGGTGGCGGTGGCGGTCCGCCCAGGAGGCTGGCGCGCGACGCCCCGCCCGTCGACCCGGCGCTGGGCAGCCGCGCCGCGCAGGTCGCGAGCCGCCAGTC